GGAAGTGGTCTGAACGCAGATTAAACATTTCTGGTAACTAATTCTCTGTGCAGGACGAGAGGGTGGTTCTGTTTTGAACATTCTTCATCCCTGAAGTAATTCAGAATAGAGAGTAGAATAGAAAAGAGTCAAATTTAGAGTGGAAGATAAATGGGCAAAACATATTTTGGAGCTGCTTTGGACATGAACTTCGGCTGTTTTGACCAGTGTGTATCTGTTGGCTGCTGTAAACAGTATTACTGTTAGCTTACTCAGCAGAAGTTTTTTATGTTTGTGTATCCTCCAGGCTTTTAAGGCCCACTTTAAACACTGGCAGATCCTGCAAAGTCCCTTTGACCCTGTCATGCATTCTTTGAGCAGTGTCTCAGTTTTTCTTCCTGTCTCTTCTCTTCCCTCTCCTCTGTTTTCAGCTCTTCTGCTTACCTTTCCTTTGCTTTTCTCCATTTGTCTCCACCCCTTCATTAAGCTTTAATGTCAGCGGGTCTGTCATTCCATCATAAATCTCACCAATATTTACAAAGTGAAATTTAGCAGCAAAATCTATTCATTTTAAATCAATCACCACAATCGGGGGAGCTACTAGCTGGGAGAAGTCAGTCAGAGGTTGCATCTGAAGACTGATTGCGTCACAGTGGTGCGACTAGCTGTCCCATTTTAAAGACTCCTTCAAATACAGCTGACAAATGCATCAGTGCAGTGTATCCCTCCTGGCCCAACCTATCCAGGGATTCATTTCCATTCAGTGACAAAAGGTTTTTCAAAGAGGTGGGGATGCAATAAGGGTGGGATGAGCTGGTAACACCAATCATGGAAAGCCTCTGTAGACCAGACAGTCACATTTTGATTCAGCCTAAGCAGTCTACCCAGCTCACGAAGGAGGCGGTCATAGTGAGCCAGGAAGACTGGGTCCTCAGAAGGATGCAGCCTCTGAATTGAGACACATCTTATACAAAATTAAAATTGTCACGATTCACCTAATTTGAACTCTGACATGCAAAATTTGTGACACTGTTAACTAGCTATCCATTGAGGGATCAGAAACGCAGAGTCCAGAATGGAGCTTTGTTGCTCCATCCAATTTTATTTTACTTTCCTTCGTCAAATGAGGAATATGATTAGTCTCTTGTCTCAGTTTAAGCGTGAACAAGCCCAACATTTAATATAGTTAACTGATAGCTGATCCGAAGAATGAAATGTCAGGGGGTTGAGACAGCATGGCATGGCATAGCATGTTCATTTACTAATCACTTCTGCTGAGACGCGTGCATGGATATTTGCTTGACATTTTCTGTTTCTGACGCAAGAAAAGTAAAAACGTATCTTTCCTGAAAGATGATTCAGGTTTTTTTTTCTTCTCGTTTTCATTCACATTTTTGAGAGCTCAACAATGAACAAATACCTCATCAGTTCACTGCACTGCTTGACACAGACGTCAGCCCTCACACACCCACACACACACTCACTCACTCACTGCCCTCTCCTAATGCTCAGTGTTTTGTGGTGACAAGTAGCATTTGTCCTCAGTTTGAAAATGTCTCTGTTGACTTTACATCCACTAATTGTACTCAGTCACGTTATCGCCTCCTGCTTCTGAAGTTGTGATACCAGAGCTCTCAAATTTTGTTGTCTTTCCTATAGTTAACATCTTCATTGCATCTTCTATGTGGACGGCAGCTTTTTTTAATCCTGAGATATTGGTATCTTCCAGTTTTGCGCCAATCAGGCATCAGAAATGCCATCAACACGCCCACTTGCTCACAATGTTCTCCAGACATCTTCCTGCTGTTATCTCACTTGGACTCACTTTAACATTTTCCAGACATTTTTCCAGGGGGCAGCTGGGAAAAGTGTCTGGACCTCAGTGCACCACTGAAATCAGAATAAGTTCTCTTGGTAGTGTTTGAACAAGCAGTTTAGGGTTTTCAAACTTTCAGTATTTCAACTTTGACTATATTCTAGTATTGTAATGTACAGCTGTCCAAAGGTGGTTCACCAAACTGGTGCACGTGATCTTGGATTTTAAAATGCCATGTTATAATAATTCTTCCTTTTATACTTTGCAAGAGAGAAATTTAGCCCAGTTCCAACTCCTGCAGGAAAATGTGGGTGTTTTATGGTTTGCAGTTCAGCAGTGAAGTCATCACATTCTGGTGGCTATGCTTTCACATATTAGCCCGGTACTGTTTCACTCCTCAAAGCCACACAAACTCAATCACCTCAAGAGGATTGTGAAGCAATAAGAAGCCTTTCACATAATTGGAGATTCTATTCAACCTCTACAGGGAATTTTTGTGCAGGAGGATGTCTTGAACATGACAGGTAATAGAACAGTTACATTTAATATCTTGGAATATGATCATTATTGACAGAAGTTAAAAAAAGGCTAATTACTTTCTAATAATCACAACACAACCCACGACCATGGACTTTTACCTAAATCCAATCTTACACCTTAATATTGTTTCAGCTTACTATAGCTACCCAGAGGAATTAAGTCATGCTGCATGTGACTTCTTTTCTTCTTAATGTTAAGATCTCTTGTCAAAACACTGAGACTAGCAGTCAACAGATGATTGATACAAGTTTCACCTGACGAGGCCTGACTCATGTTTGAAAATAAATTTAAATCTAGGGGAGCCTCTGTTCGATCATAAAAGTTGGGATAAATGAAAATCTGCCAATCTCTAAGCCCACCTGAATTTTAAAGGGATTTAGAGATGACACTCTGATTGGTTACACCCATAACACACCCATGATTAATTAGGAAACTAAATACAACAATGTTAAACAGTTGGCCTGCTGCATTGATATTTTTTCCAGCGTCAAACTCGCAAAAATGGATTTGGACACACCCTAACTGAACTTACGCAACACGCTTGAGACTATGTGATTAGATCATTCAAATTGAGCCCAGTCTCTCTGCAAAAGCTGAGATTGACACTTTCATCTCCTCCCCTCTCCTCCCACCATCACTTCCTACTCCTCTCAATCCTCTTCAGAGAGATATCTACCCAGCACAGACCCATGAAGCTCTCATGCGTGAGCCATAAAACATGTGGTATTGTCGGTCTGGTCGGGCAAGATAAACAAATCTGGTGACTGTCCAGACCACTGGCCATGTATCACTTGCCATCTGTCAACTTGACAAAAAGGAGTAGAAACTCTAGAGTGGGAAAGAGAGATTGGTTTGCACAAAAGTAGGAAACCTACACAGCGTCTGTAACATTTTGTCTTTTTGTAACATGTGTCCTTGCCGCTAAATCTGCCTTCTGACTTCTACAAAACACATCAACCTTTCTCTATAATGAGATTTTGCATCAGCTGAACCAAATCAAACAAAAAGAACCCTGAAAAACATTTTCATGTTGTTAGTTGAATTTTGTGGCTTTTTCAGTCAGATATTGTGTCACTTTTAGTTGCACAGACAGGGGGCTTCAAGCTTTCTTTGTGGTGAGGTTTTGCATTAGCTGCTCCAAAAATGTTTGACCCCCCTCTCACATCCCACCCTCAATTATTCTCCTCTGCGTAGACATGCACACATCCATTGGCTCTTTCCCTTTATGTCCCACATGCATGCTATCTGGTGATGCACATTCTCCTCTCGTGGAAAATAAAATACATGAATGTAGGTCAGCACCACAGACTCAAGTCCACACGCCTCCTCTCTTGAACAGATTGGAAATGCTGTTCATGCTTTCCCAGACCTCTGCCAGGAATTCCACACAAAATCCAGGGCGGCGTGAGCTCACAGATACAGTTAAGGGATAATACCTGAAGGCTGCAGCAGATCTGTTAAAGGCAGGGCTAGCTTGTCTGAACTAGTCCTGCCGGCAGGATTATCTGTCTTACTGAAATCTGCGTGCCTCCTGGTTTCGACTGAGATTGAGACAGACTCACTAATCTGACGGGAAATGCGGCGTGGCCACATACCATCACAGGCTGCTGTGCCGTGCACTTGGAAAGTGATGTCATGGCAGTCTGGGTGAATGTGGTTACAACTTGTCCTCGTCTCACTTGACGTTTGGTATTCAGTGAAACAAAAAGTAATTGCGGGCCCTGCTCTACCTATAAAGTGTGCAGCTTTACAATAGTTCATTTCTAGGGGGAATGTTATGGTGCTGGTCTTTACTGCGGAGCTCCACCGAGAAGATTTTGGCAAAACATTATACAGTTGTTTTCATATGAGACATCATATTGTATGACAGACGTCGGGTCAAAGAGCAAGAAAAACCTTATAATAAACCACATTTTACAGCTTTTGTCTCACCCATAGCACACGGTCACTGCTGTTATTCAGCCTGAGCTTCCAACAGTGCTGTATGATTTCAGGGTCTATATTACTTTCACAATGAAGTAAAACTTAACATGGGACATTTGCATTTCACTGAGGTGGAGGCAGAAATACACCAGAACTTGAAAATAAAACCAAAACTGCTCTGTCTGAATGATACATATTTTTGGGGAATTCGGGTGGAAGCAGAAACGTCTGATGGATATCTCATCTACTGAATCAATCTGCATTACCTCATACCGCAGAGCAAGGGCGGATCCAGGGGTGGAGGCCAGGGGTGCATTGGCCCCAGCTGAAATGTGATTGGTCGCTAAATTGCCCCTGTCCTATCAGAAATCTTTTTAAAAATGATTTTATAGTAAACTAGTCCCTTAAAATCAATACTAACGATAGATAGGACAATTTGTTAATTATTAGAATTTTCTACGCTTTTTGAAGTACAATTTTCAAGCTATAGAGCTAAAACAGTTACCACTGATGGAAGGATGTGCATGGATGTTGGACATATAATTTGCCCCTCTCTGTAAATTGTGTTCCCTTTGTGGCCCTGGATTGTGAAAAGTCCTAGATCCACCACTGTCATAGAGGTAAATCCCAACGATTTTGGGGCAGTTGGGTGAACTTGCTCTTTAACTAATGTTCAGTTTAGTTTCAACCACCCTAAATCTGTTACAGTTTTTAAAGTATCTACATTTTTTTCTTTACCCAGGTGCCTTTGCCAAGGTGAAAGAGAGCCAGCGGATGACCGACGAAGGGAAGATGGACCAGGACGAGGCCGACGGCATTAGGAAACGCTGCCGGACGGTCGGGTTTGCCCTCCAGGCAGAGATGAGCCACTTCCATCAACAGCGAGAGGTGGACTTCAAAGACATGATGCAGGCCTACCTCAAGGAGCAGATAGTCTTTTACCAACGTGTTGTCCAGCAACTGGAGCGCACCCTGCGCATGTACGACTGTCTGTAAAGACACCAAAATTCTGCCCAGCACAAGATGCCAAAAAACACAGTGACAAAAGGAAAAAAAAAAAATCTATCGAGGCGTTTTGTGTTTTGTTCTGTATTTGGCCCAATTTGAAAAGAGATGAATGAAGCAGTAGTTACTGGAAGACACACGAAGCCAGTCATTCTTTCACCTTCATGGATTCAAAGTCATATTTTTGCAAAGACCTACTGTACCTTTTTGTTCTGAAATACACATCACATAGGCAGGTGTTTGTAGCATTAAGATAAGAATATAGGTTTCAAATTCATAGTGGATCAGTGCTTTATTGTTCATAGTGTAACACATGAAAGCCATGAAACGGGTTTTATTTTGAAATTGTCCCCTTTCTCTCCAACATCGTGCACTTTGGCTTCTCCAGGGACGGATTGAAGTTGCTTCCATTATGTAAAAAAAAAAAAAATTGCAACGTATAAGCATTCCAGATGTGTTTTTTTTTAATTCAGCATTTTAGGATTTTATCAATGTCACTTTTGTGAAGAGAAAAGAGAAGAAGAGAGTCCAAACAGCTGTACGATAAAAGTATAGGGGAATTTTAACCATCGCCTCCTCTGGTTCTTGTGAAGGGCTCAACTTGCTCAGGTGTTCACTGCTTTTTTTCCTTTACGTTACTCATGTTATCTCCAAATACAAAGGCCTGTGTAAACCTTATAACAGTTAATGACTCCATGTCAATTAGTTTCATTTCCTTACTTTTCTTCATAAAGGAAGTGCCTTTAAAGATGCAACACATTCCTATGGATTATTTTTGAAATGGACCATTTGTCTTGTGATTGGCCTGTGTGTTTTTTGGGAGTGAATTGTTGGAATGATGTGTTTAGGCACAAGTTTGCACATGTTTCTATGTACTGGTGGGTCATTGTGTGTGTGTGTTAATGTGCCGGCGAGTGAATGAAATGAGTCAACAACTGTGCTGATCGATTCCATTTGCCATGGTGAAAAACAGTTCTTTATCTATGTAGGAGCAGATTTATTTAGCCATCAAACAGATATGTCAGATATTCTCAGCAGATGAACCGCTTGACTGAGGCAGAATATCAATTTGGCATTTCTGTGTTTGTAGTAGATCATTTTCTTGACATATGGTAAAAACAAGTGCTTCTTGTTACCGGATCCTTGTGTTTTCATGTATTTTGGGTAAAATAAAAACAGTTGGTTCATTGTCTAGAACTTTAAAACCATCTAAGTCTACGTCATGATAATATAGCCATAATATCATATATAAAATATGTAACATTTATTGAATCTTTTTGCAGAGTTAGTGAGAAGATTGAAACTCCCCTTGGTTTTTTTAAGTTATAGCCATATAGTGTAGTTAGTATTATCTTATTATTAAGACAGGAAACAGTCACTTTACTCTGCTCAAACATGACACATACCATCCCTTCTAACGCATGACGCATTGTTGTACAGTGTACAGGGGGTGTGACGAGTGATCACTTCCTAGGTCGGACATTCAGATGAATTTTTGACATGTCAGGAAGTTTTGTGGGCACAGTTGAGGAGAGTCCTAAGTCGATTCCCCCAAAGTCAGAACATTTTCCCTCATTGCACCTACGTTAAATGACAAAACACAATCGTAGGAACTAGGAAGTGTAGTCTATGGCTGGAAGCGATTGCAAAGCAAGAAAGAAAAAGGTGATAAGGGGTTCTAACAATACAGTAAAGAGTGTAGCCAGTTATCATTTTACAATATAGTAGCCTCAAACATGATTGACTTTCTTTCTGCAAAATAGCCAAACCAGGCTCATGTCTTCCAAGCCACCAGCTTGTCCATATGTCGACATTTCTTTTTGGGAAGTTTGACACACAGAATAATCCATGGTATCAAGCTAGCTTGTTTCTCCCTTTTTAGCATTGTTAGCAAACAAACTTCTTTTTCAACTTCCCATCTTGAATGATTTACTCGTACTGTGTGAGGTGGAATTTAACGTACCGTTGGGCCCGACTTAAAGCTCAGAAAATATCATGCCTAATCTGTAGTTGTCTGGCACACAACCCCCTGTCCAACTGCAGCTTGTCATTGTCACAATTAGGTTTTTGTGCACATTAAACAAAAGAGATGTATTGTGATACAGTTTGTTACGCTTGCAGATAACAAATCTTTTTGGGTTATCAGTCTTCTCCTTTAACTCTGTAAGAAAGAAAAACATTTCCCACAATGACATTAATAATGATGATTAATGCACCATATTTTGAGAGATTCAGTTTGAAATCTTATCACATTTTCTGTAGTTATTCCCCACATCTAATGAGAGTGAGGATTTGACTCCCACTCCTCCCTAAGTGAGTTATTAAAGTTGTTCCAGTAACATTACTCATCCTATTTAACAAGAGGGTATTTCATGGAAACTTGTGGTGTAGACAAGAGACTATCTTTAGCATCGTCTCAACCTTAGAGGTGTACGTGAAATTGCATTAATAAGCATTAAGTAACTGCTTCAAGTCACTTCCAGTGTTTGTCAGTTGTGAGACACAGATTCTTCACTTTGATGGAAGAGCGATCGCTCTCTTAGGGTGAGAAGAAAGTGCTGATTCAGATTCCAGGCCTCCTCAGAAAACAAGGGACCTGCTCGGCCTGCGTGCTTTTGTGTGACTCAGATATGAGTGTTGCCTCAGTTATCGGCTGCATCTGCATCCTTCAGCACATCGCTGTCTAAATGTGCTATTTTTCACATTTGTTTGTCTTTGAACAAACCTCTGCTATTCATACGTCAGCAGTTTCTCTGAGACCAAAGAAGTCATACATGTTCTCCACCAAAGTTCCTCTTTTGAAACTCTGTTTAGTGTTGTGAAAGGAACTTGGTTTGGAACTAAATCTGGAAACTGTGAAGACAACACAGAAAAAAAACATTCCCAAACTGGTTTCACAATGACACTTGCCTCTCATGTTCCAAAGTCACATGGTTAGATGTCAGGCATTTCACACAGGTGATTGTTTCTTAACATGCATGTGTGACCTGGTTAGTTGCTGGAGTTCTATGCTTTAGTTTCAGTGTCTGAAATAACAAGTAATTAGTAATTTGTCACATGATTTAAGGGAAGGGCACCTAGAAAATATTAATAAAAACAACGATGATGTCTTTATATCTCTTTGTCATCTTTGTGGGTTTGAATGTCTGACATTTCAACAAGAAATCAATAAAACCCAGTGGATAAGACAGCAATGAAAATACTTGAAGTATTTACAATAATTCACACAGGTCCAAGGGACTGAAGCACATGCACTTTATCAATCAATCAATCAAAGCTGACATGTATTCACAAATCACAATTTGCCTCGTTAGGGCTAAACAAGCTGCAACATCCTCCGTCCTTAATCGCCAGCAAGAGTCAGAAATACACCCCCCCCCTGAAAGGAGAAACCTCAGAAAGTAATAGAAGTGTGTCAATGTTAAAGTTTTTATACAAAAAATGTCCGACAGAGATGAAGGGAGTAGTATTGACCATTATAATGATAAGGGTATTGCCAATAATGGTAGTATTTGTGAGTAGGCATTTTATATATCTGACAATCTAGTAGTAATCATAATTCATGATGCCACCATCCACATCACAATGAATCATTATTTTCAGTCTATTATTTCTCCTATTTTTTAATCCATGCTGAGTACGTCAGTACGTTGTGAACAAAATGTTATGACACAAACAAACAGTTTGTCCTGATTATAATCAAAACAAGGACAGCCAGGAGCTGTTGTCCACATCTTTGCTCATGTAAACACTGACGCAATGTTATTCTAAAATGAATAAAACGTAAAGGAAAATGTGCCCTAGAAGTCTGAAAAGAGATGACTTTGACTTGAAAGTGTAGGAATGAGTAATCATTCTGCTAAGTCTATTATCTGCATGTTTTTGTAGCCAGTGCTGTGGCTCCATGGATGGAAACGCTGCTTTGTTGTCTGATTGGTTGCTGGTTCCACCTCTTTGGTCCAGACTGAAATATTCCGAGCAACTATACTAAGTAGAAAACCATGATATTTAGTTTTCACTGAAAGTAAATCTATGGTGATGCCTTGACTTTTCAGCTACTATTTACATGAGGTTGACAGTTTTTCGTATTGAGTGAAATATTTAGACAATTATTGGGGTCAACCAAATTTTTTTTCAAAATTTTCCCATTACAAATTTCTAATCACTCCCCGCTTGTACTGTTTGTGACAAGATAACAAACTCAACAGCGTGGTGCCAGGCCGTCACTGTCATGCTCTTTATAGCTGAGAATCACTTTTAGCACTTTTTCGGTGTTTTCAGACATAATCCAGAGGCTCTCACTCTGACATTTGGGTTCACACATGCACCTCCTATACGAAGAAAGTGCAGAGAATCTCCAGAGTTCAGTGCATGCATGAAAGTAGCTATAGAGTATATTGACATGCTAATGTTAACGTTCAGCTCAAAGCAGTGCTTTGCCAGAACAATTTCACAAAGCTGCTAGCATGGCAGTAGACTTTCAGTCCTTTCCTTTGTTTGTTCTTCTAGTTATTTAAACATGCGAGACAATATATGTTAGTCAAAGCAAAAATACTTGAATCTAACCCCTAATGTTTAACACCTGTGATTTAACCATAGTCACACAGAGCTTTTTGGGTAAGTTTCCTGATATTTAGATACATTTTAGTCCAAAAACATTTTATTGAAAGTTTCCTTACACGAGCAAGGCGCTCCTGCTGGGTTGGTTTTTGGAGACAGCTGATCAATGCCAAGCTGTGGCCAAGCATGTTAAAATCAAACCCAGGCTTTTCTCAGTAATGTGTTGCAGATGCTTCAGAGGCAAACATTTAATTTGGACAGCTTAAATCAACAGCTCTGTTGTTAGAGTGAATGAGATGTAGGTATACAGACTTTAATAATGTTGAGATCCCTTCACAACTTTTCACTCTAACATGTGTAACTGTGGTTCAGTCAGACAACTCACATTCAAATGTTTATTGCAACAGTAGAACATGTTAGTGTTTGGTGTCTAGGCTCTGACTTCATCATTCCCCCAGATCTGATTACATAGATATATTTGATATCATTAATCGTCTGAGCCTACAGGTGGATGCTGGGGTGGTGGAGGGGCTGAAGCAACTGGCTGCAATACTGATGCAGCAGCAGGGCAAGAAAAGGGAGTGATGGGAAATTTTGTCTGCTGAAATAGGCCGCCTCATAGAGTTGGTGTATATTCAAAATGAGTGTGGAGAGTGAGGTATGTCACATGATGTACAGTATGTCTCATGATTGGAGCAGTGCAGCTCGAGTTGGCTGCCTGAACTAGCTCACAAGCATCGCCCCATTATCGTCCCTTTTTAAAAAAAAAAACCTTAACACCCATGATTCCTTTGTGGCGACGTATAGCGATGCTAAAGGATCACAGCTTCTCCACTGTCTGCCAAGAAGTATCAGGTGCACTTTATGACTACTCTTTAACTTAAAGAACAAACCCAGATGTTTCTTTTTGAACCCAATACCTTCGTCTGACAGTTGCATTTAAAGCTCTATCAGGGTTTGGTATGCGACTGGACTGGTGGGATGATGTCACCGGCATGATATGTGCCAGGAGGAGACTTCATCACATCCACTTAGAAACCCAAGGCTAAGAGAAGGATGGAAATCTACATTGGAAGCTTAAATCACTACACTTATTCAGAGTGGTGAAAGCAAGTGTATTTTTGCACCAATGAAGCAGGTCTGCCTCTCATGTAGTAGTAGAGCATAAAGCCTCAATGGAAGTCACATGACAACTGGAGAAAGTTCTAAAACTGAGGTTTTAACAGTGAATTTCTCTGAAGCAGCAACCCAAGTTGTGTGAGCAAGGAGGTGTGGGAGATGAAAACAGGTTAACTGCCGTTTTTTTGGCTTTTTCCATCGGACAGAGTCTGGATAGTTCTTTTCCAGGACGAGGGAACAGTTTTTGAAACAGCACCAGCGTGGTGTAAAATGGAAGAGGTGCAATAAAAACTAAAAAAATGTGTGGTTGTAGCACCCTCCTTCAGTTATAATGTAAAAAAACAAAAAAAACGTTGCTACTGGTCTCCTCATGCTTGGGTTTCATGTTGCAAGTCACATTGAGATTACTTAGCACATTCTTAGCTTTCTTTCATGCCCTTAACTTCCAAAGTAACTCACTTGGCTCATCTGAAGGGAAAAGCTAACATTTCTCTCTGGTCTGCAGTGCTGCTGCAGGGGCAGATGGTAAAAGCGTTAAGGCCCAAAGTGCCAGCAGATGTCTATAAAAACAAAAAAAAAAACAAGATGCTGAGTGAAGGAAAGGAGCAATTTCATGTCTGCATAGTCTGGGGAGGAAAACTGTGCCTCCAGTCCCTCGACGGGATACCTCAGAGGACAAGACGTACCCAGAGTCCTCAAATGTTCCCCTTAATGCAAAATCAGTCTGAGCTCCACCGCACAGACGCAAATGTGTTGGATGCCGGCATCTGTACGGCTTTCTGCATCAACCCCGGGACTACACACATGAATCATACATGTCTTTTGTTAAGTTGTTTGGTGTGTGTGTGTTCAGCAGTAAAAGAACACTCGAATTAACAATTTCTTGTTGCCATGACTTTGATGGATGAGCTCACAGGATTATTGTGTCACTCTTGACCTGTCTGCAGTGACATGGACTTGACCTCCACAGTGCAAAGGATCGCAAAGTCCTCCTCCCTGAGCATCTGTAGGAAACAAAGGCAACAGATGGTCGAATCACCACATGGTGGGTCTGGTAATCCCTCCTCCTCCAACTCCTGCTTGCTGCAGGGGCCAGTGTCACAGCAGGGCCAAAAGCCAACACTCAAACCAGATTTGTGGCTCCATTGAATCAGCGGGGGGAGAGGAATCCTGGCACTGTAGGTCGTTGGGGATAATTAAAGTCCCATCACTGAATTACTAAACATGGACTATGTAAAATCATAGAATTGTTTTTTTGTTTTACCTTAGCAGAGAGATTTCTTTCTCTCTTGTGGGATTTCATGTAGAGACACACATATTGTCCCATTATTTGGTGTTGTGCATTTAAAAATAAAACAACAACAAACTAATTTTCTGTGATTGTGAAATAGAATTGAATACAGTTTAATTCACTACAGTTGTAACAATGGTGCCAAATCCTAATCTCATTAAAAGGGAAAATGTTCCTCAGAAAATCATTGGAATTCTCGCAGTCAAGATGACACACAATATAAAGTGTTTCACGGAAAACAATCTCTATCGCTATTTCCATCAACACTAACACAACTGAGAATGCATATCATATGATCATTTATGTACACTGGGCACATGCTGGTGTAAACAGGGAGCAGATTTTGCAGAGTGGACCAGACCAAATTAGGACCAACAATGGTTAAAAATAGCAGCAGGGATTTCACTCTTTGGAGAGACGATGAGGTGGAACAGTAAGTGTTAACAACACTTCGCATTTATTGCTGGCTGTGGAGTTGTGACTGATAAGAACCCGTGGAGAAACAAATATGGACTCAGCCAATGTTGTTTCCTAACATCTCTGTTTCTGCCAGAAAACGCAGCCTTGGATTTCCCATATTAAAACTTGACCCCTGGCATTTCCAAAGTTCCCAGTTTTAGGTGCTCAAAAATGAGTCCAAACAAACAAACAAAACTAAATTCCTGCATCTGCCCATTTATACAGACAAACATAACCTCCTTGGATGAGATATCCTGCATAAAATAAACAGATCTATAAAAGATAGAGACCCATGTGGACTCAACCAGTACTTGATTATTAACATACATTTTCCAGCCATCTATTCTACTTGTTATGGAGGTTTTCTGGAAGCTGGTGAAAGGAGAACTCAGGCAGCAGCTGATGTCTTATGCAGAAGATTTTATTGTAGATTTGATGCATCAAGGAGACCAGAAGGTGCAACAATATACAAACACTAACACAGTAACATGAGCAACTGTCACCCCAAGTCTGAAGATGTCTCCCACAGCATCCCCATTTATCTTCCTCTACTTGTGTCACCCATTGTAACAGCACATCCATGAAAGGCTAGAATTGCTGTCACTCTCTATGTTACATGCAGGTGTTCACATCCTATTTGATAGTTAAGTCTAAATATTAATTTTGAAACCACATTGTGTCCTTACGTCCTGCCACTGGTRAAATATGCAAAAAGAGTTGAAGTTGGTGAGAGYTGAAGTTGGTGCCTCTCTGTCTGGAGCATCTCAGTTAGATATGAAAGCCCCTGAGCGTAGACACTACAATGCACTGTTTATCTATAACCTGACCTTGGTACTGCTCAGAGAGAGAAGGGAGGATCTGTGGAATTAGCCATGCACTCTTCTCTTAATGGTGTCCAGATATAATGTAATATACACTATATATACATAATACAGTATATAGTGGCATATACAGTAATGG